CATAATGGCCTATAAATTGACAGACTCATTCGCTGAACCTAGCTAGCGACAACAACTATGAAATCTCTAGCATTTTCAATACTATACGGTATATTATTGATATTTACACTTCTTAATATAGTTTTTTTTAGATAGTTCGTTACAAACAAAAAACAATATATACCAACTCTACAAAAAGCTCTTAAGTCATGTAGAAAATAATTGTTTGCTCTTTGACCGTGAATATAAATATAACTTGGCATGGATACTGCATTTTAAAGGTAATGGAATTTGTGACTTCCAATATAAGGTTGTGTAATGCAATTAATTCGTAAAAATAGTCGTTTTTTTACACTTCATTTCATTTAACATATTGTATAATATTGCTTGTGGTGTTTATATAAACAAACACGGAAACTACTACTACTGGGAGATTTAATTTTCTAAAAATGATAGAGATTGATTAAATCACTTTCAAACTTTCTGGTAGGTTTAAAAATCACTTCTAAATAAAAAAAGGCACAAAAACTGTATATTAAAATCAAAAAATGTGATAATAAAAAATAAAAACTTACAGCAACAAATTTACGAGAGTATATGAGAATGAAAAGTAGGTTAAACTACAGATGTAAAATAAAATTAAAGAAGATTATGTAGGAAACAATTTTCATATTTTTTATTAGCCTATTTGTTTCCTTTCTAAATGTTGACTATAATCAGACCGCTTGTATTAACATGGATCAAGGGTTGTAAGATAAAGTTTATATTAAGCGTGGTGTCAGACAGGGATGTCTTATGTCACCGATATTCTTTAATGCCTACACTAAACCAGCTTTTGAGATAGCGTTAAATAATCATCGCGAAGGTGTCACCACAATCAGATGACACTGCCATTATGGCAGAGAGTCTAAAACTCTGTTCAGAGCCTGTTAAACGCTGTAAACAACGAATGAACTGAAAAAGGCTTAGCAATCAACGCAAAGAAAACAAAATGGATAGTGGTCGGAAAAATTAATATCGAAGACTTAGTACTAAAATTAGATAACAAAATCCTTTTTAAAAAAAGTGACGAGAAAGTAGAAGTCTATCATTGTCCACACGTCTAAGAGTATTGAAGTGCTACGTCTGGTCCGCTTTGCTCTATGGATGTGAAACCTGAAAAAAAAAAGATAAACATCTTCACAAATTAGAAGCGTTCGAGTTGTGGTGTTACCGTCGCATGCTCAGAATCCTGTGGCAGGACACATATCTAACGAACGTGTGCTAGAGACCATGCAAATAGAACGAGAATAAATTAACATCACCAAAATGATAAAAGTCCAATACTTTGGCTACATAATGAAAAGACGTAAATATTACGTATTTCGGTTAATCATTCAGGGTAAAATCAAAGGAAAACGCTGGGTCGGAAGAAAACAACTATCCTTGCTGCATAACATTAGACAATGGACAAGTAGAACGGTCGAGGCATTGTTTCATATAGCTGCCGACCGAGAAACATTTCATCATCTTGTTAATACGACGGTTGCTAACGAAATGAAGAAGAAGATTCCCCTTCATTCCTGGATATAGATCTACCCTTGAACATCCCTGTCTCATTGTCTTCTTTGCTGACAATTTGCACTCATTCTGGGTTTAGTGTCATCAATCTTTATTGGACAATACTCTATTAAACAATGTTTCTCATCCATCTCTCATTTTTTTGTTGTTTTGTGTGTCTTATCCAGTTCCATTTCATTTGTGAAGTGTTTAAGATTGCCGCTTTCACTTTGGTTTCTTAAAATTTCTTTCTTAACTCTTTATTCATTATATATTGTCTTATGAAAAATTTTTAACATAGCTTGTTTTATAGGCCTCTGTGTTATACTTAATTTAATAGCTGATAACTCAGTAAACGTTGTTTCCATTTCATTGGTTAAAACTGGTAGGATGCAAGTATTTTTTTAATTTATTATCATCTTTTTGTTTCTTAGTAACGCACTGACTCTTCATATTGTTACCTAAGGCAGGTTATTCTGCTAATAATCTCTGTTCTTTGATTTTGCTTAATTGTGTATCCTATATACTTATATCGTTATCCATTTAGCTTGGAAATATCCATGTAAAGTTTGTTGTTAATAATATATCTTATATACCAAAACAACAGGTTCTGGGAGCTCAGTCAAGGGAAACAAACAAAGTAGTCACTTAATTAATTTTCTTAGCAGATGGGAAAAACGTTGAGAACATGTGTTAGTTGAAAACATACCAAACTACACAACTGCCCAAATTTCTAACTAAATTTCCTAAAACCTACACAAATTTCCAGATCCTTGAAATACTCCTGTCGAAATATTAAAGGCAGGAGGACCTTACCTGTGATAAATCTATGGAGAGTCTATCAGAATAAATCTATTTTTGAGAAGGGCAACTGAAGAAATACCAATTGTTATGGAGATTTGAGTGTAAATAGTACAATAAACCGAATGTTCAGTAAAGTTATTTAAACATCAGTCACAGAATTGGAGAAGATCCAAGAGGTTCTACGAGTACATATAGATTCTGTACAGACAACTTTATCCAAGATAGCAAAATAGTATATAAATGCAAGAAATGAATTACAGTTAGCAGTTCTAAACTTATAAAAAGCCATATAAGCCTTATAAATATTGATACGCACCTATCACAAGGGATTGAGACAGAGAATTTATGATGAAAATAAAAAATGGGGATAGCCCATGGGACTGAAGAACGTAGAATACCTAGTGGTAACTAGCGACGATAGATTTCAATTTTCAATTGGATGAAACCGAACCAATCGAATCGGGAGAAACAGAAATAAAACACAGAATTCAACAAAGTAGAAAAATTCTTTTGTATCTGGTCTTTCCTTACGTAATTGATGGGCTTTGAACTATGTGGGGGCCCTTTAGCACTTTAACTAAAACCAAACTGGACAGAATAAGTCCTCAATCCTGATATAGCGCGACTTAATGGCTAATAGGGGCGTTTCTGCAGATATGTAGAACACGTACGAGTAAGACATAGCCAAATACGTACCCGCGGATCAACTGGGAATATGACATTATTCAGCAGTAATGGGATAACTAGCTTAAGGGTGTAGAAAATTAAAAATCCTGTAGACTTATTTCTAGATACTCACAGGCGCCACTTACATTATGAGCCAACCGGCTATCAAACTGAGATGGGGATCTTTCAAACCGTATGACCAATGTAGAAGAGTATCTTCCACGAAAAATATAGAAGTATAGGAAGAAATTAGAATCGAAGGCATATGAAATCAACGTTAACGGAGAATACTTAAACCACCTAAGATATGCAGACGACATCGTCTTTGTAATGAGAAACAAAAAAAAAACAAATAGATTGATGGTATATAAACATAAAGAGTGAACGAGATTGGAATGGGCTTCTTTTGGTAAGCTTCTATCTACGATCTACAATCGAAACTGTTCAACCAGTGCATTCTTTTCGTCCTTACATACAGATGTCACACTTTAGACATTCACAATGGCTAATATGGCCCAAATAGAAGGAGGAATACCTCCTAGCAAAACTAAAGTATACATTTGCCCATCATATCTATTAGACAAAAAGATGGAAGATATATTAAGATTATTACAGAAACGAGGGAGAACACATATGAGGTGGATGGATGACCTGAAACACCATGCTGGTTCGAGGTGGATGCATATAGAGCAGCGAAGGGGAGACCTATGTCCAACATTGGATGTTTTAAGGCTAATAGATAGATAGATAGATAGGAAAATCTGAGAAAGTAGAAATGCAAGAATATGAAGAATAGAAACAAGAACTAATGAGGAAGTCAGAACTCGAATTAAAGCAGAAGAAACAGTGGTGGATAGAATAGAAAAACGGTCCTTAAAGTGATTAAAGTTTTATTAATATTACTTCATGAGCGGTGGCCTAAATAAATATATTATTGGAGAGAACCGACAAAAGCGGAATATTATGTAAGATAACGAAAGTGGATGATATAATCGGTAAAATTTTATAAATGAAATAGAATTGGGTAGAGTGTGTTGCACGATAGTATAATGAGAGATGGACAAGAAACTTTATTCATTTTAAGATCAAAAGAACACCAATGTAGTAGAGTAAGACTCAAAAATAATGGCCTGATAACATAAAAGCCAAAGTAGGTAGGCATTATTACGAACCAGCTAAGAATAGTACAAGACTCAAAGGAGGGTTTACATCCAGGAGTGAACAGAAAAATGCTACCAAAAAACAAAAAGAAATTTCCAGTTAAAATTAGGTTAATTACACTGATTAAACATTCTTGTTTTGATCCAGCTCTTTATTACTGCTTTCTCGTTTTTTTAGATTCATAAATTACTAACGTTTCTATTGTACTTTTCTATGTAACTTCAAACCTAAATTTAGCAGAATAATAGAAATTTTAATATGATATTCACTAGACCTTCCAGTGACTCTTTTTTAGGATACAGTTAACCTCTTTTTAAAATTAACTTATATTGTGAGTAACTTGTACACAACACTGACAAGAGATATATACAGATAGATACAGTTTTTGGGGTTCTATTAAAATTACATCATTAAGATGTAGACGCTGACACTTCGATATTTTCACTCCAAACATTCACAGTAAATGAATGGATTCTAGTTTGATTTGGTCACAATATCTGTAATAATGATTTTTTTTATAGACTATAGAACTTTGACAAGTTCATAGTCTAGGACATGAAGTAAACAAACTAGATTCAATAACCGAAAATAATACTTTTCGATAATATTATTGTCATTCAGAATACTGCAGAGACTATTTTAAAAAATTGCATTACACTACTAGAAGCTTTTAAAATAATTATCAACGAGCCGTTCAGACAAAGACCCAAATTAGTTGACACAATTTACAAAATAACACTAACTCGACTGTTGTACTGTCCTTTCTACTAATTTGGGTTCTGTTTGCATGATGCTCTAGCCTAAGGCATTAATTAATCTTACTAACAGGGTCTTTGTCTAAATCTTTTCAGCCAGCGCCTATCGGCTACAGACTGCCTCAATCATGACTGGCTCAAAAGGAAGAAGTCGCCACCTAGTCTGCCGAAAACACCCAGTATGGACGTCACCAAGGACAATTTGAAACAGTTCGTTGAAAGGTGGAACGAGCACCCAAATTCGCCGTATGTTTTTGAGATTAGTTCCCATGTGATATCACCATCGATGTTGCCTAACGGTGAAGAAGACCTTTCTGGTTCTAGCCAGTCTCTAATCGGTGAGTCACCATCTCCGTGTGGGTCTTTAGCCTCGTCACCAGGGTCAGACAACGCTTTTGTAAACGAAGGGCAAGAAAGTTTAGAGCAGCAGCTACTAGCACCGCCAGTTGAGCACTTCAGAAGAGCTTCTGACAGTACTTGTGTGGTGAAACCGAATGATATTGCAGAGAGAATGAATTTGGCTGAAGAGATTAGAAAACTATCAGATAAACTTTTCCAACTTTCTAATTTCAATACAAGTCTCACTAATAACGAGACAGTATTTAAAAATGAAGTTTCTATAGTCAAAGAGGAAACTATTCCTAGAAGTGTGCCGATAACAATAACAGGAAGAAAGTACAAAGATGATGTTATAACCGTCGATGATGAAAACAAAGAAACTCTAGGAATACCATGGAGAAAATCAAAATTTAAAGTAAACAATATGTCCAGAGACGTACCTCTCAGTATAAAAACCATACATAAACCAGTAAATTCCCACTTCACTACAAAAACCAACAACTTAAACAGTCCTAATGGTACCAAAGACTTGCTCCTTCAGCTGCTAGAACAGTGGGACGGGCCAAAGGGTCCAGTGAGACAAAATACAAGGCATGGTTCTGTATCTTCTGACTATACTGAGAATGAATCGTTAGGACAAAGAACTATCAGCTCTCTCAACACCTTCTTCCAATCCAGATCTGCCAATAAGTTGGCACCATTCAGGGTCATTCATAAAACTTAAATTCTATCAGACAATGTCTGTATATTAAGGATCATAGTAATAAAGAACCAAATAAAATGTTTTGGGCGTATATTATAATCGTATATAGCAATACAAAACACTAAAGTAAAATGTATCAACATTCTGATAATATTGCAACATATCGAAAGTAAAGTGGAATAAATTCTTGTTAGTTTTAAAAAATACGGATTCATTTAAATTTTTTATTATGTTAATAAACTCTTTTATTATATTATATTAATAAAACTGGGTAAAATACAAAGAAGGATTACCTTACCTCTTTTTTTTAATGTCTATGTGAAATGTGTAATGAGAACATCTTAAAAAGTATAGAAATATAGCCTTAAAGAGAATATTTTTTCCCTACTGTCACCGGTTAATTGAACATATCCTAATCATCTTAAATTAGGCTATCTCATTTTGAGATCAATTGGTGCCACGTATAGACGCCACCTGTTGTATTTATGTTCTGTTTTATCGCATTCTGCCTCTTTATTCGTCTATTTAAGCATTTATAATTTTAATAATAACTATCCTCACATAAAGTGTTAACTTTCATCTGATTCTTAGTTCTTATCCCCTTTCAATATTTCCCACCAACATCATATTACCAATAGATATACATTTGAAACACCCATAAATGACATCTTGAAAATGTTCTTATGATAACCAAAATATGATTAAATATTTTTACTATAGATAAAAACCCCACCAAAATCAAAAATATTGGTTTATTTGATGAGACAAGTAAAAAGTGACATGTTATCAGTTTGAATTACTCATAATAAAAGGCGAAATAAATTGCAAACCATCAAATGGACAATCTCCATAACTCTACGCTGTATTTCTAAAGTAGCTTTCCAAGTTACTCTAAAAACCAAGGACAAAAAAACTAACAAATATAATAAAGTCAATGAAGAAGTGTTCTTACATGTTTCCTGTAATAATCAGAGAGTTGAGACAAATAAAGAAACAGTTAAAGACTGAAATACAAAAAAATTTGATGTAAGAAGTGCAAACAAAGTACCCAAATTATGAAATTAATTGTTCGATTTTTATTACATGACCGTATTGAAACAGACTTTACTCGTAGAATTTAAGAAACCAACGTTCAGGAAATGAGAGAATCCTTTTGGGTTTTGAAATATTCCTTATTTTAGTTTAGTAGCCTATGTTATCAGCATTTTTTATTGTTGTAATATTTTTTACAATGTACATAAGGGACCAGTCTAGCTTCGCAAAATTTATCTTGATGTTTGTGAATCGTTGTTGATGTAATATTTAAATAAAGGAACAATATTTGATGTTTTATTGGGTTTTGTTCATGTTTTCTTCATAATTTTTAAATCAAAAACGTTTATAAGCCACTACAAATTAAAATTGTTTATAAAACATTGCAAAGATTAAAAGTACAATAGTTTATTGATTTGTTATCGTTAATACGAAACTGTTAATAAAACATTTCTAAAAACAGTACACAAAATGCCTATACTAGACCATAAATACGCATTCGGTCCGATAAGTACTTAGCCTCACCGCCCGATTATGCCGCTATCTCAAGAGAAATTCTACTATCGTGTAATACGTGCTTGTAGACGGCTAATGTCAAATTTTCAGCCGAATCGGATTCGGACTCATAGTTTTGTTTTGACTGCGTGTGAAAGTGGGCGTGTCTGCGGATTCTAGAAAGATGGAAAAAGAGTAATATCGGTCGGTGATTCGGTTCTTATTTTTGGAAGGGAAATCGAGGAGCAAAATCAAGGGGCTCTTGATTGCTGTATACGGTGGACCTTCCCCTTCGATGATCAACTGTCAAAAATTGGTTTAACAGCATTATTATAGCTTTTTAGCATATCTGCAGTAACGTCATTATAGCAACTCTTATTGGAACCTGAAGGTCATAAAAAGAGTAGGTAAAGGAGATACTACGATAAAAAATAATTTACCAACTTCCTAAAAGACGTTAACCTTTAACTTTATTTGTAATATCAATATACTTCTAATAATTGGCCACATCAAAATATACATCATCATTTTCATCATTAACCAGCCCTGATTTGTTGCCATTTGTTGTAACCAAACTGGAGAGATGAAAAGAATACATTCAGACACTTTTTGACGATTATAGACCTTGTTCTCTACCAGCCACGTATGATCGAATAAATGAAAAAGGTCCAAAACAAAAGAAGTTATTTATGCAGGAAAAGCTCAGAAGAACGGAAAAGCCACCGGTTCAGACAATATCAATGTCGAAATACTTAAATTAATTGCAGACAACGAAAGTAAAAGCCTCGACTTAATAACAGCACTATTCAATAAGATATATGACACAGGTAAAATACCATCAGACTGGCTAAAATCTACATTCGTAACATTACCAAAAAAATCCAATGCATCACACTTCGATGACTATCGAATATTAAGCATGATATCTCATATCCTTAAGACTTTTTTCAGAATCATTCATAAACGAATGTACAAGAAGTGTGAATATCAGATGATTGACACTCAATTCGAAATTCGATATGGACTGAGAACATGAGAAAGCTCTTTTTGCTTTAAATGTGTAAACACAACGATGCAGACATGAATGTAGATGTATATGTATGTTTTATTGATTATCGAAAAGCATTTGACTGCGTTAACCACCAAAAGATAATCGAAATTCTGAGAATAACTAAAATTGACGAAAAAGACTTGCGAATTATCTCAGAACTATATGGGCACCAAACGGCAACAATTGAAATAAAGCACACAACATCCGAAGATATACGAATGCGACGAGGAGTGCGACAAAGTTGCCTCTTATCACCGTTAGTATTAAATCTGTATTTGAAATCTATATTCAGAAAACCATTCGACGAGGTTCAAGGTGGAATCAAGACTAACGGAACCAGGATAGACAACATCATGTACGCTGATGATAACGTCCTAATAGCAAGCAACGCACAAGAACTACAAAATATAATAAATGCGGTAGTTCATCATAACGAAATGTTCAGTTTACATCTAAATGTTTCCAAAACTAAAATTCTAGTATTTTCAAAGATACCAACAAACGTACATTTGTATACGAAGGGACAAATAATAGAACAGGTAACTTCCACAAAATATTTGGGAGCAAATATCAACAGCCAGTGTAATCCAAAAAAGAATTCCTATCAAGAATTGACCAATCGAGGACACTCGTGAACATGAAAACATTTTTTACAAGATCAGTCCTTAGTCTAGAGCTCAGAATTCGAATGATCAGATATTACGTTTTCCCTGTTTTGCTGTATGGCTGTGAAAATTGGACAATGGAAACTCTAAAACAGAAAAGAGAATAGATGCCTTTGAAATGTATATATATATATATATATATATATATATATATATATATATATATATATATATATATATATATATATATATATATATTGGATGGTGCTAGAAAGGTCACCAACGGAGACACTGCAGACGGCAGCCAGATGGTTTTTGGAGAGCGAGTCGTGGGTTCGAAACTAGCTTTTGGAACCGAGAATGGGTCCAACGTATGAAATAAGTAAAGATAGTATAAGAGATATTAGAAAAGATACAGAAATAAACAAAAAGATGGATGGGTAAAATTACCAAAGATACGATAAGATAGAAACAGGGCGCCACTCAATTTTTTGGGGTTAAGGAGAAAATTAAGAAACCTTAGAAAAGAAAAGAAATAAGGAAAGATATTTAGGTTCAGAGTTCAAACCCAAGGAAAGACACCAACAGTTAATTATCAAATAAATTTGGTCAACACATTATATAAACAACTAATAAATATATTAGGTATTACACTTACTTACCCACGAAACGGTATAGTAATATTTAAAGGTAAAAAGCAAATACCCAGAGTTACTATTTTATCAGGGAACTTGTTAGGAGCCGACAAATAAAATACATAGGTACATAAAACAATAACAATATATTCAACAACAAAATTATGACGCTGCTGAATGCATCACAAGTAATAAAAATACACCAACAACTATAAAATGGTGGTATACACATAAAAATAAGCGGTAATTTAACTAGCAAATACCTTTACAAAGATATATAAGACAATCATTTACAAAAAAAGTGTGTACTTGGTTACGTGGATTAACTATCTCGCACTATTATTTAATGATAAACAGACTTAAATGTTCATATTTATTAATTATTGAAGTTTCTTGAATTTAATGAAATGTTCTTTAAATTGAATACAAAAATCAGCAATCTACAGGTGAAGAAATGGATGAACTTTGATTCGCCCAGATGATTGCAGATAATATGATACCATACCATATTATTTGCCCAGATAATTGGAGATACTAAGATTATGGTAACTTACAGTAATTTCTGATGACTGCTGCCTAATTCACTGAAGTTAAATTCTGTACTTAATACTTTACTTGTATCAAACACTGAATTTAATTACCATTAAAGGTACTTTAGAACTATATATAATCTAATATAGTATCAGAAAAGAAAACTCAAATATAAAGTTTATACACACTTAGAGAAAAAAATGCACAGAGACGGTAAGAGACGGTAATTTTAGGCAAGCGACCTCACTTAATGATCGCCCCACTAGAAGTAACTTGGTTTTTCTAAAATTTTACAAACTATTCAAGAAAAAAGAGGGGATATATCTCACTTAGAAATCATAGGCCAGTTGTATGTAGTTCTGAGAAGATAAAAATATTCTAATGGACATCGAAAAGTTTGAGGTATTTACGGTAGGTACGTGATCAAATATACAATCCTTTGGATTATGTTATTGTCAAAAGATTACTATACGTGCCTTCGACGAAAATTACCAATTTATGAAAAAGAACCCGCATACCGAAAAGCATTAGTTCCTTTCTTACTCGGCATTGAGAAGGAAAGGATTAACAACCTTTCTTAATTAGGAAAATCCCGTGTTATTTTGGTAAGTAAATTCTTCCGTCATAAATATTTCTAATCGTACACACGATCATCGGCGTATCATCCACATG